ATGCCTGTAATCCCAGTGACTTGGAAGGCAGAGRTAGGAGGATGGCAAGTTCAAAGTCAGCCTCAGAAACTTAAAGAGACCCTGTATCAAAAGGAGAGAGTGATTAAGCGCCCTGGGTTCAATCCCTAGTACCAAAATAAATAAATAAATAAAGCCCCAAAGCACACAAACAACCCTAGGTTCAGAACTTGGGCACTACTTATTTGGCCCTTGCAAAACCCCCACAGCTACAATCCAGCCTTAGGCCAGCATTTAAAACCTACCACATCCAGATCTTAGAGAAGGAGAATCTGGGGCTGTGCTGAGCTTGACCTCAGAGGACAGCTAAAATGATCATAGCCAGGAGTGATGCTTCTCAGCCATTTTTCCTCACTAACACCTTCCCATCAGGAACAATAGCTCCGTATTACTAAAACTCTCACCCAGGAAGCAGAATATATTTTGGATAATGTTGAAGGTACAAACAACCATATTTACTGATATACCAGATGTAGGATGTGAGAGAATATTTGAATAAGAATGACTCCTAGGTTTGGGGCCTGAGGAACTGAAAGGATGGAATTGCCATCTCAGAGCCTTGTAGTCTAACAGAGGCGGCTTTTCCTAGGCCCCTGTAGGGGAGGCCCCTGCATTCCGTCAGCACTGGGAGTGAACCGTGACCTAAGTTTGGATCCTGACTTCCAACATTCAGAACCTCAATTCTGTCAGCTCATCCAGTGATAATGGGGCTCTCGTCACACAACTAACAGTCACGGGAGGCTGATTTATAATCCAGAATGTCAATTAACCAGTTTCAAATGACAGCTACAGCTTTCCTGTGCTTGAACTACCAGTGACCCCTTTCCAAACCACCCTATAAACTAGTATCTGGGTGGGGGGCAGACCAAATTAGTAACCAACTGTGAGAAGTAAGAAAACTTAACTGATAAAAGACCTAGTTTCTAATCCCAGTTTTGCCACTGACTGTGATCTTGGGCAAGTCAAAGTTTTTTCCAAATCTGTAAACTCTGAAACAAGACTGCATGCATCACACAATTCTCAGAATTGAGTAGAATGGAAGCACTTTGTTAATTATAAAATGTTTTTCAAATATAAGAAACTTACCAGAGCATAGGAGATTCTTTTCAAGGATATATCATCTATCCTCTGGCTTACAGTATTATCTTTTCTCTACTGGAGAATATATCACTTTTTGTGACCTTAGCCCATGGGGCAGATGTATAATATACTTAGGTCCAGATTTCTTCACTTCTGATGAGCAAATTATACAAACTTATTGTTTGTCTTTTAGGTTGGTTACCTTGGGGGGTTCAACTTCTTCCAGGTAGTAGCGAGTTTCTGATTCAATGGGTCTTCAGTGGGACCTGAGAGTTGGCATTTCTAACAAGATCAATGATGCTAATCCAAGGGACCATACCACCATTTGAGGACCACTGGTCTAGTAATAGTCTAAGCTGATAGTAATAAGAAAATCCGTTGCTCCCTACTTCTTCCTTTCTCTCACTCACCTGCCTGTCAAACTTTCCCCACGTTGGCAGAAGTTTATGGCATTTGTGCTCAGATCCCTACTTTAGGGATTTGCCTGAGTAGTTATCCGAATGTGTGCAGACACTCATCTCTTTTCTTTTATCACTGTTTTACTGAAGAATTCAGAATTATCAAATTTAAAACAAATTTTTTTAAAGATGCAGTGTCAATTGGAAATTTTCCTAATTGGCTTGAATGGAAATATCAGGGAATGCTTAAAGATCTGTGGATGGCAACACTCCCAGACAGCAAAAAGGGAATTAGACAATTGGCTTATTTGATTGAGAGCTCTTTGAGGGCGGCTCTTTGGGGTGGTGTCTCACGTAACTTCCTACACTTAGGCTGTAGCACCAAGTGCCCTGGCACTGTCATAGGATTTGCATAAATCAATGCATTTAATCCACACAGCTCTACTATAGATCTCTATTTTGCAGATGAGAAAATTGGGCTCAGGGAAGTTGAGTGGTTTGCCCAAATTCATTGAACTTGAAAGAATGGGAGACAGATGTGGACTCAGGCAGTTTAACAGCCTGTGTTCCTCCCACTATGGTAAGCCATTTAATACATTGCACAGTAAGTATATTCAATGTTATGAAGGATTATATGCCTCCCAATTCATAGGGAAAAAATCAACAGGTGTGATCAATGTCAACTTTCTTCCTCCTCCAATCTATGAATTTATGAACAGCTATTCCCTCCCCTACTGTCTTTCCTGCAGAAAAAAAATTCCCCTCTTTCTCAATTCAAGTTCAGTTCTTCCCTATATCCTTGACCCACCTCACACCACTTTCTCTGGATTTTTTTTTTTTTTTCGGTACCAAGGATTGAAGCAAGAAACGCTTAAACACTGAGCACATCCCCAAGCCCTTTTTTAAATTTTATTTTTGAGACAGGGTTTTGCTAAGTYGCTTAGGGCCTCACTAAGTTGCTGAGGCTAGCCAGAAACTTACAAGGCTTAGCCTCTCAAGTTGCTGGGATTATAGGAGTGTGCCACTAAGCCCAGCATCTTTGGACCTGTTTTATCAATTATTTTACTTAATAACTGTAATCTCTCCTCTTATTTAAGTCAAMTTTTGCATACTGTGACCAAAATATCTGACAAGAACAACTGAGAGGAGGAAGTTTATTTAGGGCTCACAATTTCTGTGTCCCTGTACAAAGATAGCTGACTCTAATTCTCTGGGCCCAAAGTGAGGCAACACATCATGGGGAAAAGACTCAATAGAGGAAAGTGGCTCAACTCATGGCAGGGTCAGGAAGCAGAGAGGGTAGGGGGAACAGGCCACAAGATGCACCCTTCTGGGGCATGCCCCAGTGACCCACTTCCTCCAGCCATTCCCCACCTACCTACAGTTACTACCAATCAGCCCATTCAAACCAGGATGAACTGATTAGGTTATAGCTATCTTAATCTAATAATTTTATCTCTGAATATTACTGCATTAACAGGAAATGTTAGGAGACACATCATAACCAAACCATAACACCTTTCCTTAACCCCCTTCTCTTTACCTACCAACTTACTCAAGCATCAAAGAAAATTCCCTGATGGGACCTAACATTCACCTTCCCAGTCCCCAATCATCATCCTCTTTTCCCTTTCAAAGTTCTTAAAAGGACAGTCCCCAGTTCTTACCTCCCCTCCCATTCTTGCTTCAGCAGATCAATCTGATTTCCATCCTCAGTATGCTATTTAAGCTGCTTTCACTGAATTTGCTAGTACATTCCTAATTGTTTTCAGTTGCTATTTAATGAAATTTTGTCACTTTTAGCACTCTCTCCTGGGGTTGGCTCTGCCCTTGGCACTCTACCAGTTCTCCCTGGGAGACCTCATTCACTCAGGTGACTACTTTTTTAAAGGAAAATCTTCGTAGCTAATGTCCTAGTAGAATATTACTTAGGGGATATATAATTCTTTGTGTAATCATCTGTATCTGTCTTCATATGAGATGCTTAGCTACCTGAGGGCAATAACTCTTTTCATGCTATGGTTTGTGTAAGTGGCCCTCAAAGGTCTATAAGTTAAAGGCTCAGTCCCTAGGGTGGCCCCATGGGATGTGGTCCAACCTTTCAGAGATGGGGCCTAGTGGGAGGTCTTTAAGTCATTTGGGGTGTGCCCTTAAAGGGGAATCGTGGGACCCCAGCCTCCTCCTCATTCTCTTGCTTCCTGACATGAGGCAACCAGTTTGCTTCACCACTTTTCCCCACCTTTACATCTAGTACCTCCACCAGAATTTCAAAGCAATAAATCCAGCCAGTCTTGGACTAGAACTTTCAAACCTGTAAGCCGAAATAAGCCTTTTATAAGTTAACAATGTCAGGGGTAACTGGTTCAAACACTCATTTAATATTTTCAGCTCTTAGTATAGCTGCCACAGCAGGTATGCAACATTTCTGTTGAACACATTACCCTATGAACTTTGCTTCATAGATGTTCAAGCGATTTCTGTAGATGTGTCCAAATGTTTATATCAATATTTTAAACATTGTACAGTGTTATAGGTGTATAGGGAAAAGAACAATCACTTTTGGCTGAATAGGACTTCAGGAAGGTGATAGCACTTGAGCTGTAAATAATTTAAGAAATCCAGAGGTGGAAAAGGGAGGGGAAGAACAGTCACATTCTATTCCCAGACTATAGAGTGGAGAAGAGCAACTAGAGTAACTGTTGAAACACAGAGTATGGATAAGGGAAGAGAATATTCAACTAAAAAGAAGGTGGGGAATATAAATGGGGAGAGCTAAAGGCTAAACTAAGGAGTTCCAGCATTATTCCATGGCCACGCAGTAGCCTCTACTGAACAGGTACGAAGATACACTGGAGGTAGTCAGATAAGTGGGCCACTCTCATAAGCAAAACAGCCTAATACAGAGTGGTAGCAACACATGAATTATAAGAAAATAGCTATAGTACATGACAAATTTCATCAAATGTAATAAATGTTTGTGTGTGTGTGTGTGTGTGTGTGTGTGTGTATGTATTTAAACTTTTTCCATATTGAAATACATCTTACAAGTCATTTGCACGTCTTGTTTTTTAGGTGGGTAGGGGGTCCTGGGTATTGAAACCAGGGTTGCTCTACTACTGAGCTACATCCCCAGCCTTTTTAAAATCTTTTAAATTTTGAGACAAGATCTTGTTAAGTTCCTGAGGCTGGCCTAAAACTTACAACCTGCCTCAACCTCCCAAACTGCTGGGATTACAAGCATGTACCACTGTGCCCCATTGGTAGCATTTCTTAACAATACATAAAACAATGCCTCTTCTTAAAGCTGATGTTGTCTTAAAAATATAAATATAGATAGGAATAAGAAATAAAGAATTCAAAGGCAAAGTTTTAAATCTGGGTAATTAGAAGAACTCAAAGTCAGATGCAGGAGTATACAACAGTAATCCCAGCTAYTTGGAAGCTGAGACAAGAGGATTGCAAGTTGGAGATCAGCCTGGGAAATTTAGTGAGATACTGTCTCAAAATTTAAAAAGCTCAGTGTTAAGAGTGCCATTGGATTCAATCCCCTACTGTAAGGGGCGGGGTGGGGGAAACTCCATTATTCATAACAAAAAAGTGAGTGAGTTTCCTCAATTCCTTATACCAGAGTCAAACTAAATCTATTTGGACAATGGCCCATAGGTAATATTGCTGTTCACCTACTTTCCTTATTTGCTAATAATAGGAGGAAGTACTTATTAATGACAACTTTAATTCGAACATGTGTGGGATTCTCAAGAAACCACAACTAAAGAGTAAGCTGAGAGTAAAAGGAGTACATGATGCTCAGGGATGAATGGAATTCTATTTCTGGCCCAGTTGATATTCAACCATATCAAAGCAGCAGTCATTTGAACAATCGGAACTTTTTCAAATACTGGTTCACTTCTTCTTTGGGGTATGGTCGGAGTGCAATGCAAGTGGCAATATTCTCTGGCTGCTCAAGCCACAGCATGTGGTCAATGTTCTTCTGTTGCAGGGTCTCAGCCAGCTCCTTTAGGGTGGTCTCATCTGGAGCCTACAAAGAACAGAACACATAGCACAGATTGAGCAGCTCATTTAGAAAATGTCAAAAGCCCACAAATTCAAGGGTGTGTGTGTATTTCTCTTAACTAAAACTGGAACAAGAGTTTCATTCTCTGGATTGCCATTCACTCTCTGCAGGACTTAGATAAGTGGCTGGGGAGGTGGAGGCAGGGAGAAACCTAATAGTCCTATTAACAAAATGGAGATTTTTCTCTTTCCTCTTGAGATGTTTTAAGTATGCCCCATACATTTTCTAGCTCCCCTACAATTGGTATTCACAACAGCCATCCCTAATTCTTTGGCCAGCTAGGACTTTAAGAGCTAATTACTGGAAGGATTTCTAAAATTACATACACCTTTCTTCTCCAATCCCACCAGGCCCAAAGCCTAGAAATTTTCCTTCTGCTGGGATAGCTCCCACTTTGTTTTTTTTTTTTTTTAATGAAAGGGAAAATAAACTATTCTCTAACACCTTTCTAAAATTATTTCTGGGTCATCCCTATCACCCACTTCAAAAATCCCATGCTGAATCCCATTGCAGGAAGTATTAAAACTATAACTCAGAAAATTAGTGTGTAATTATGCATAAGATACATTTTTTGCCTATGAAGGCAGACGTCACTAAGATAACTGGAGGCTTCTTTTATCAAGTTAGTGAATGCTAGGATTGTCACTCATCTGGCTAAGTCCTTCAGGTAAAGCCATGCTAGAGGCACTAATGCCACCTCCCCCTCCCCACCTTGTGGCTCTGGGCAGCAGCATAGTATATTAGGTAAGTCTCTGGAATCAGACTGCTGGACTTCAAATTCTTGCTTTACCAACTATTGRTTGTGTGAACTTGAATAAGTTATGTGACTCAGCAGGGCCTCTGTTTCTCCTTTGTGAAAAAGAGATGATAATGCTTCCTAGCGATAATGAGAATTCAGTGAAATTAGGCTTAGACCTGTGACTGGCACATAATAAACACCAATAGATATACTTAATCTTGACACTGGCTTATATTTCATTGGTCCTTAAAGCAACTGGAGCACTACAATTTAATCAGAAATGACTCCTAAGTCCATTTCTTTATTCATGGCTAACAACTTTGGAATCATCAAATAGATGTCTATTAGTTTCCTTTGGGCTTCAKATGTCTTGTCTGAGGAATGGGAGTCTTGAACCAGATTTCTGGAAGCCGTCTTTGTATAAAAAAGAATCTAAACGAAAAGAATCTGTCTGCTTCTTTTCTGAGTACTCAAGAGTTCCAAGACATTTTCATAAAGACTACTGCTTGCTGCTTCACTACCTAACAGCCTATTTCCCTCCCTCCCTCCCTCCCTCCCTCCCTCTCTCTCTCTCTCTCTCTCTCTCTCTCTCTCTCTCTTTTCTTGAAAGATACTGTCTTTGTCAGCCATCCATGAAGGAAACTATCCCACCCCTCCACTCCAGGGTTCTGTTCTTTTTTTTTTTAAAGCACTTTTTTCTCATTACAAGATATTGATGTAGAAAATTTAAAAATATAGAGAAATATAAGGAAATAACCAAAATCACACCATCTAGTGAATATTTAGATGCACTTCCTTTCAAAATTAAAATCATTCTGTGTATATAATATAGCTCAACTAGCTTCATATCAATTGCACTCATATGCCATTAAATACACTTCAAACATGATTTCAGCTATTTATACAATAATACTTTATAAGGGCACAAATTAACCAAGTCTAGCACTAGAAATTTATTATTTCTACATTTTTCACCAGTACAAAGTGCTCCTTTGAAAATCTCTGCTCAAAGCTATAAGAATATCTAGGGGAACAACATTCTGGACCAAGAGAAGAACAAATACAAAGGCCACAAAGCTGAAATATGCCACGTTGAAAATTATGTATAAAGAGACACAAATGAAGTTAAAAGGGTCAGGAAGGAGACTGCATTGATAGCAAAGGGAGAAAATGAAGGAATTGTGGACTAGAGTATTAGAGTAGATTATACTGTCACAAAATAACTGAGATAATCACCTTAAAAAGAGGAAAGATTTATTTTGGCTTATAGTTTTGTAAGTTTCAGTCCATGGCCAATTTACCCTATTGCTTATGGTGAGGAGAATGTAGCAGGGAAAGCTGCTCACCTCATGGTGATCAGGAAGTAAAAATTAGGAAGAGGAGGTGTCCGGGTCTCAGTATCCCCTTTAAGGGCACATCCCCATGACCTAAAGGCTCCCGTGAGGTCCTATCCCTTAAAGTTTCTACTACCTCCCAGTACACAAAACAGGACCAAACCTTTAATTCAGAGGCCSTTAGGGGACATTTAAGGAAGCTCAAACTATAGCAGAGATGATAAGAAATTGTCAGATTCTATTATAATCTGAAATTAGAAGAAACATGATTTCTGAGTAGTCGGATATAAGGTATGGGAGAAAAATGCGTCAACATTGGTTAATTTCAAGGTTTTGAACCGAATACTTGAAAGATAGATGAAGTGGTCATTAACTGAGAGTGAAAATTCTGGGTAAAACTGGTTTGGGGGAAGAGGAAGTGACTTGAAGATCATAGAATGACTTCTAGAAGACAAGAAAAACGCTTCATGTATTCCTGTTTACATCTCTGTCAGCATCTTAATTAGCCCACAATAAGGTACTACAAACTATTGAATAACTCAGGAATGTATAATCCAAAAAAAAAAAAAAATCTGCTCAAAGCTATTTGGTTGCACCTGATTTTTTTTTCTTTTTTTTAAGAGATACAGGACTTCCAGCAGAACTGCGAGTCAAAGGGTAATTAAGATCTGTTTGGCCATCTAGACCTTACCGCTGTTTTTCAAGGTGTGCGGATTTACCGAGGTGTCTGGTATTTCCGATGCTAGGCTCAACTGATGCTATTCAAACATCTATTTACAAATAGTGTGGTGTCACACCTAGGTAAATGCACACTTCACTTTACTTCTGTATCCAAAGCGAAAAGGAAATTTTGTGTCCAYATCCCTTCTGAGTTGGTTTACCTAGGCGGCATTACATCTGAGGACAGCTATACAAGGCTGGCCAGTGCGGACGCAGAAAGGCGAATGCACGAGTTAGCAGGAAAGGACTCGCTCCGCCATTCTCCGCCCTTGGAGGCGTTTCCGCAGGCCCCACCAATTTCCGGTGAGACCAGAAGGGTGCGGAGCCGTTCTTACTAACGAGCGCGATGTCCACTCTTCACAAACCAGAGGAAGTGAAGGTGCAAGGGAGAGCTCCTCGTGTAACAACCCAAGTCCCAAAACCTTTTCCAAAGTCTAAAAGTTAGAAATTCCTCCGCACTCAGACCACACCTACCCCACAGAGTTAGGCCTCAAGACCACACCCACTTCCGGTCTCGGCGTCCTCAAAGTCCCTCCCTTGGCCTGGGTGCCTCACCTCGAGAACTACTTTACGCATGCGCCCCAGCTCGCGAAGGTAAGCCGTGGTGTGCGGGTGGTCGCGGTGAAGTTGTAATGCTGCGGTAGCTGCATGACAAGCCTGCGCTACCAGTGCGCCCGCTGGCCAGGAGAACGGAGCCTGCGATAGATCTTTTCGAAGCACCAAGTATTGTACCAGGATCTGCGGCTCCGCCCCAGAGGACGCCATCTTCCTAACAACCTGAGCGGCCAGGCCTGTTCCCCGGTGCATCCTGGGATCAGGGAGGGGCCCTGAGCGCTGCCATGTTTTTGTACGGAAGGAGCGCAAAGCACGCTGGGACTGACGCTGGTTTGAAGGCGGGATGGCGGGAATTCTCTTCCCAGACTGTGGTGTGGAAGAGAGGAAGGTGAATGGAAGGCCTGTGGACCCCCTGGCAGGTAACTAGGGTGTGGGCTTTAAAAAGCTCCCGGGCTGGGCCTGCGGGGCTGCGCCCTGGGGGCGGGGAGGTGAGTCCCGTGGGGACTAGTGGGTTTTCTCGGAGCCCAGAGGGTGAGTCCAAATGGGCGTGGGTCTGACTTTGTTGCTGTTTTTCTTCTATCGTTAAGGACTTCATTAGACTTGACTGGAAAACTTCAAAGGAAAACAGGAATTTGAGGAGGAGATGGAGCGCGCACACACTTTATGTCAAGACGGTGTGTCCACAGGAGGTATTTAAAATTCGCTTTTGTCCCCTTAGTGCTGCTGCCTCAGGTAACCCGCACGCTGAAAGCCTTTTCCTTCCTGTAACTGGTGTGTGCAGTCCGGCTTAGGGTTAGAATGGTGAAAGCAGCTAACGTGGAAGACTCCAAAGAACAGCAGTCAAGAACAGGAAAAAGAATTACTTGGTGTTTCTAGGCGCCTCCTTTTGAAACTGATAGGTTGCGTTAATGATATACCAGTGTTTACATACAGAGTCGCAGCTGTAGCCAGTGAGATCTCTTTTTTTTTTTAATGCATTACTTCTGAGGGGAAATCAGTGTTGGGCAGTGAATGGATATTGCTTAGACCTGTATTTGATGTCTGGTTCTGCTTTTATAGAGTTTGCGCCCTTGAGTGAGTAACTGTATAGTTTTCTGCCTCCATTTCTTCATCTGGAACATGGAGATGAATAGTAGCATTGTTGTGTTGGTTGTGGATGTTATATACATACTTTTTTACCTGCTATATAAGTAAAGCATCTAGCACAAATGTCTTAATATGTAAGCAATGTTCAACAAATACTTTATTTTGGAGTTGATTGCCATTATGAAACAATGAACTTTAATACATAAGTGCTTAGTCTTTTGGATACTGAAATTTGCCTCTCTGTTTCTGTCCAGAAGTGAGGTTGCTTTAACTGTCCTCTATAATACCCAGTAGTATTTGTGAGCAATTCTTGTTATTGTGCTTTTCTAGTTCTGTGCTATTTTTTAGAACTTCAAGAGTGACTCTTAAGGAGTATTCAGTTTCTGAGAAAGTCAGGTGAATTTAGTATCCTTGTTTTCCTCTGAGTCCTTACTATCATAGATGACTGAAAGCCATACTCAGAAAGCTTATGCTGAGACTTTAGATAATAAACAGTCTTTGGGTTAAGATTAATTGTTACTTCAAAACTAAAAATAAGTTTGGTGACACATGCTACAGTTAGAAGTCTCTAGTCTAGGCCTAATTTTGTTTCTTTCAAAATAAGTGATGATAAACTGGCATATATACAYAATGGAATATTACTCAGCAATAAAAAGAGAATAAAACCATGCCATTTGCAGGTAAATGGATGGAATTAGAGAAGATAATGCTAAGTGAAGTTAGCCAATCCCAAATAACCAAATGCCAAATGTTTTCTTTGATATAAGGAGGCTGAATCATAGTGTTTTAGGGAGAGGGATTATGGGAAGAATAGAGGAACTCTAGATAGGGCAGAGGGGTTGGAGGGGAAGGGAGGGGGTATGGAGTTAGAAATGATGGTGGAATGTGATGATCATTATTATCCAAARTACATGTATGAAGACATGATTTGGTGTGAATATACTTTGTATACAACCAGAGATATGAAAAATTGTGCTCCATATGTGTAAAAAGAATTGTAATGCATTCCGCTATCATATATAAATTAAAAAAAAATAAGTGATGATATGGAAGTTTTGGATCATCACCTAGACCAGTCAAAGGGTAATTCTATAATTTCTTTATTGTCTTTCCCAAATAATAATTAAACATTTAGCTGTTACCCATACTGGTTTGGGCCCTCTGCTTGGTAATTTTACCACCTTTTTGCTTATGGAATGAGATCTGTGGAAGGAGTCAATTGAGAGGAAATAGATACAGCAGAAAAAGGGATAATATAATTTGAGGCTCCTGAGAAAACGAGGAGATAGGAGTCAATAAGTAATGGTAAGAAATACAAATGAAATATGGCTATTCTGTGTATTATATTTTTATTTGTATCTCTTGCTAGTTTTTCTTTTCAGTGGGATATATATCAACCATAAGGGAATCAGGGAGTCTAGATGTCTAGTTGTTGTTTTGTTTTGTTTTGTTTTGGTTTGGGGGACCAAATTCAGGTCCTTGAGATGCCAGGCAAGTGCTGTACCATTGAGCTACATCCCCACACCTTTTTATTTTGAGACCGAGTCTTGATAAATTGTTGAGGTTAGCCTTGAACTTGCGAACCTCCTACCTCACCCTTCCAAGTAGCTGGAATTATAGGCATGTACCATGAAGCCTAGGAAGATGTCTAGTCTTTGTTGGATAGATGAATGAGATAAGTTTTTGGACTTTCTCCCTCAACGATTCTCGTGTGTATATGCTTATGAACCCTACAACACAGATGTTGGATCTACTTCAGAAACCTAATTAAATGAAGTATGGTAGTTAAAAATTATAGTCTTTGTGTAAGGGAGATTTCATCTAGACTGGTAAAACTGTTGAAGCATCCTTTTCCACAAAGAGATGTGCTTTTGTGATATTATGTAGACCTAGATAACATACTGCTGGCTAGAAAACATGAAATAGATAAATCAGATTCTCTCTCTTGTTCTCTTTGAATAGTGACCTGGTAAGGAACTATTTTTATATCAGTGTCTAACCCAAAAGGTTGATCTTTGATTTTAGTTGTCAGATCCTCTAACAATTCATCTGGCCACAAAGTTCTGGAAAAAAGAGACACCCTCTGTTCCTTCTTGAAGTGCTTGCTGTTGGTGGAAATAGAAGACCTTGTCTTGTGAAATTCCCTTTTTACTTTCCTTAGGTGTTTTAGCCCACTTGGAAAGATTAGAGGCTCAGGCGAACAAATCCCATAAAGAATCTGAAGAACTGCAGAGAGCTCAACCAGAGGAAAGTGCTCTTGAAACCAAGATTCACCAACTGAGGCACATTCGAGATAAACTAAGGGCTGAAGTGAAGCAACGGCAAGCCAGAGTGAGTAGAAGGGTAATGTTGGCAGACTTTTTAGGGTATAAAGAATAGTAGTAATCCAAGTATTGACAAATTTGTATATTATGTTTTATTATGATCTTACCATATTGTTTTCAGTCTTTAATGCTTCAATGGTCAGATCTTTAGTTACAGCTGATTATCAACTACAGTTGTCAGGTAATTATGATGGGCCCTGCACATTCTTTATAACATTACCCCAGCCTGCCCTTACAGACATCTAAGCCTCTTACCCCAATCTCAGCAGACTTGAGTCATTTGTATTTCTGTCAGTAGTGCCATCTTTCTGTCACTCACACTCAAAACCTCACAGGAAACATCAAGTCTTCCCTCTTGTCAGTTTATTTTGTAGCCAAGATCCAGTCGGCAAGACCTGTCAATTTTTCCTTTATGTATCTTTATATTTACTCCCTTCATTGCCATAGCTCAAGTATTTTCCATATATGTAGTAAAATTTTATCTAGAATTGGACACTAGGATTACTGTAGTATCGGCTAGTTGGGGTCTCTTCTAGGACTTCTACTTTTTTAATCCTGTATATGTCACAAAACACCAAACTGTTCCTTGCCCAGGTRCCATCAGTATGCCCCTAGGATGACATGGCTTTCATCTTTTTCTTGCCATTTCTCTTTCCCTCTCTCCCCTCCCCTTTCCTTAACTCCCTTTGCATTTTTCTTCTTAACTCCTTTCTCTCCTTTGTTTTTTTATTAAAATAAACATACAAAGTGCACAAGTAGGATGAATATTTTACAGAGTGAACACAACCAGTTATCTACCACACAGCTCAAAAGTGTAGAACTTTGTCAGTACCCCAGAATTCTCCCTTTTGCCTCTTCCTAATCTTTCTTTGAAGTAGCCACTATTCTGATTCCTGTCACCAATATCTGGTTTTACCTGTTTTTGAACTCTATAAAAAGTATCAACTCTTTTGTGTCTGACTTCTTTTACTAACTGTTGTGTCTGTGAGATTCATCTATTCTTTTTTCATGAGTGGTAATTCTTTTTATTGCCATATAATAATCCTGTTTTATGAATATAGGACAGTTCACCTATTCTATTGATACCGAATGGGTCATTTGGGTTGCTTCATTTTGGGATGATAATGAATATTGTTGCCATAAACATTCTCACTCCTTTCCTTTAGTATAAAAATACACACTTTTCTGTTAGGTGACACCTCGTAGAATTGCTGAGACATAGGGCATGTATTCTGCCAGTATTTGAAAGCGCTTGTGCCAGTTTCACATTTCCGAGTGTGTTATAAGATTTCTGTTGCTTTGTATCTTTACCATAGATTTTATCAGTTTTAAAATCTGTCATTCTGGTGGGAGTATCTCATTATGGATTTAATTTGCCTGATCACTTATGATTTTAAATATAGAGAGTCCTCTGTATCCATGTGTTCCACATTCGTGGATTCACCCAGCCATGATGGATCACAAATGTTCAAGAAAAAAAATTGCATCCGTACTGAACATGTCCACACATTTTTTTTTTTTTTTTTGGTGGAGGGTGGTAGGGATTGAACCCAGGGGTATTTTACCACTGAGCTATGTTCCCAGTCATTTTTATTTTTTATTTTGTGACAGGATCTCTCTAAGTTACTGAGTTGTTGAGGGTGGCCTCAAACTGTGAACCTCCTGCTTCAGCCTTCCAAGTCACTGGGATTACAGCATATGCCACTGTGCCCAGTCAGACTTTTCTTGCCATTATGGTATTCTCTAAATGATACAGTATAATAACTGTTATATAATGTTGCATATTTGTCATATTAAATATTATAAATAATCTAGAGGTGATTTAAAGCAT